CGGCGGGAGCGAGCTCGCGACGGTGCGCGAGCTCGGGTTCGCCCACGGCGACGGGCTGTTCGTCGAGCGAATATCGTAGCTGGAACCGTGATGTGAGGTTAGCAGCTCGACTCTGAAAATATCGTGACGACGAAACGAACGAGGAGCTAGACGCGGCGGAAGTACTTTCGTACGAAAGTACGAAAGTACTTTCGTAAAAGTCTTTCGTACGTTTTTGCAATTTGTATGCGTATTCGGTTTCAATTTCGTACTTTTGGCACGGGAAATTTAATTAGCGGAGCGTGACCTTAAGTACAGTCAACAATTAAGGTCACGCTCCGCTAATTAAATTTCCCGTGCCAAAAGTACGAAATTGAAACCGAATACGCATACAAATTGCAAAAACGTACGAAAGTACTTTACGAAAGTACTTTCGTACTTTCGTACGAAAGTACTTCCGCCGCGTCTAGCTCCTCGTTCGTTTCGTCGTCACGATATTTTCAGAGTCGAGCTGCTAACCTCACATCACGGTTCCAGCTACGATATTCGCTCGACGAACAGCCCGTCGCCGTGGGCGAACCCGAGCTCGCGCACCGTCGCGAGCTCGCTCCCGCCGTCGGCGCCCGGATCGCGAAACGTCCGCCGCGGCCACCGCGTCGCGAGCGCGAACGCGTCGCCCTCGCCCGCGCCGCCGACGCTCCGGACGTAGTCGAACACGCCTCGCGCGAAATCGCCCGCGCGAAACCGGCGCGTCTTCGTCGTCCCGTCCGGCAGCGAAAAGCGCAACGCGACGACGCCGTCGCCGTCGGGGGGCTCCGGCGGCGCGCGCTTCGATTCATCGTCGGGGTGGAGTTGAAAGGCGTCAGAAGCGGAGTTGAAAGGCGTCGCGGGCGGGGATTGAAAGCGAGGGGTAGGCGCAGAGAAACGCCGGCAAAAGTCCTTAAGGATCGGCGTTCACCACGTGGACGCGGTCGTATGGGGACCAGTGTACAGAGCTCGAACGAACCTTCGCCGCCGCCTCGCGGTACCGCGCCGCGCGCGCCTCGCGCCTCGCGCTCACTTCCTCGTCCTCCGCCGCGCGTACCGCGGCTTCCCTCGCATCGCGCGCTCTCGCTTCGATCTCGTCCTCCACCGCCGCGCGCGCCGCCGCGGCGTCGCGGAGCCGCGCCGCCTCTCTCTCCGCGACGTCGCGCATCGTGCGCTCATAATCGAAACTCGGCGCGATGTCCACCGCGAGGTCCGTCTCGATGAGGCTCACCGCGCCCGCGTCCTCGGGGGATACCTCCGCAACGAGGAGCTCGTGCTCCTGATCGCGCTCGCCGGCGCCGGCGCCGCCGCCGGGCGCGGGGACGCGCACGCGCACGACGTCCCCGACCGTCAGCGTGCACCGTCGCAGGATGGCGCTCTCGAGCAGCGCCTTCACGTCCACGCCCGTCCCCGTCCCCGTCCCCGTCCCCGGTCCGTCCGCGGCGTATGCGGCGGCCGCGTCCGCGTCCGCGATCGCCCGTTGGAACGCGGCGCTCAGCGGCTTCAACTTGGCGTAGACGCCCTTCGGGAGTCGCCGGTAGCTCACGCGGACGCGCGGCGGCGCGGGCGCGGACGCGGACGCGAACGCGTCGACGTCGACGCGCGGCGCGCCGTCCTCCTCCTCCTCCTCCTCCTCTCCCGTCGAAGGAGAAGGACGCGAACCGTCGCCGTCATCGCGTCCGAGGGAACGCGAACCGTCGCCGTCGCGCCGCAGGAGCATGCGCGTCACCGCGGGCGGGAGGCCGACGACGCCCTCGGCGGCGTCGAACGCGAGGACCCCCGCGTGCGTCGCTCTTCCCGCTCTTCTCGCGTCCCCGCCCGTCCCCGTCCCCGTCCCCGTCCCCGTCCCCGGTCCGTCCCCGCCGCCGCCGCCGCTCCCGCGCGCGCCCGCGTCGGTCGACGCGCCGTCTCCTCCTCCTCCTCCTCCTTCTTCCTCCGCGAGCGACACCTCGAAGAAGCACGCGTTCGCGTTCGCCGCGCGCGTCGACATCTATACGAGCGAATGGCGGGGTGGAGTTGAAAGGCGTCAGATGGAGTTGAAAGGCGCCGAGGGCGGGGATTGAAAGCGAGGGGTGGGAGGAGAGATGCGCCAGGAAAAGTCCTTAAGGATCGGCGTTCACCACGCCAACGCGGTCGTATGGGGACCAGTGTATAGAACGCACCGCGCCGACGCGCTCGAGCTCTCGCAGCGCGGACGGCGGCAGCGAGATCTTGTCGTTCCATACGAAGCGACGTCGGGGTGGAGGCGTTCAAAGGCGTCAGAAGCGGAGTTCAAAGGCGTCGAGGTGTGTCGGGATTGAAACCAGCGAGGGGTGGTGAGCGGAGAGATGCTCCGAGAAATAAAGTCCTCATGGATCGGCGTTCACCACGCCGACGCGGTCGTGTGGGCGGGACCAGCGTGAGATGGGACGCACCTTGTCGTCCGTTCTCGCGCGTATCCCGCGTCGCGTCGCGTCGTCGCTGCGCGCGCCGACGAGCACGCGCGTCCACGTCACGCCCTCGTTGTTCGCGAGCACGCGCTCGTCGCGCGCCTTGGCCTCCGCGGCGAGCTGCCGAGCTTCGAGCCGCTCGCGCGCGGCGACGTCAGATCTCTCGCGCGCGAGCGCGTCCGCGCGGAGCTTCGCAGCGCGCTCTTTCTCCTCGCGGCGGCGCAGCTCGCGCGCGCGCGTCTCTTGCTCGCGCTTGAGCTTATCCGCGGACGCGTTGAGGAACATTGGTCGCCGCGCGAGCGAGCGACGGCGCAAAGCGTCGTCCGCGCGCGCGCGGACGGATCTGACGACGCGTCGCCGGGGTTGACGCTGACGCTGACGTCTCATCATCAGCAGCAGGAGAGCAAACGTTTTTCACCCACCCTCGGTTTCAACATTTGATCGCGTCATTTTTCAACTTTACCTTTCAACTTTCATGCACGGTTTAACGGTCGAGGAAGTGCACCTACGCCAACACACCGCCAGTCTATCCATCCGCGCGACGGACGGCGCGCCGCGCGGTCGCGGCGGACATGGCGTCCGCGCTCTGCCTCGCCGCGCGCGTCCCGCGCGCGGCTCGCGCGCCGCGTCCGCGTCCGCCGCCCCCCTCGCCGCCGCTCGCGCGCGCGACTCGTCCTCGTCCTCGTCCTCGCGGCGTCGACGACGACGACGTCTTCGCCGAGTCGACGTGGCGCGCGCGCGCGACGACGACGACGACGACGACGATTTGCGGCGACGGCGACGGCGACGGCGACGGCGACGACCCGGCGACGACCCGCGCGCGCTTGCACGTCGGGCAGACCGTGGAGATCATCCTCAAGGCGGACCAGGCGACGGGCGCGACGACGCGAGGGACGATACGCGAGTTCCTCACGAACAGCGCGACGCACCCGCGAGGGATCAAAGTGCGGCTGCGCGACGGCGGCATCGGTCGCGTCGCGCGCGTCGTCGACGACGACGACGCCGTCGACGACGAGCCGAAGCCGTCCGCGACGACGGCGGCGCGTCGGAGGACGTCGCCGCCCGCGTCGTCGTCGTCGTCGTCGTCGTCGTCGTCCTCCGCGACGGTGTACCTCACGAATCTCCCGAAGCGACTGAGCAAGGCGGACGTGACGTGGCTCGTGGAGGAGATCCCCGGCGTCGTCAGCGTTCGCGTCCCGAAGCGCGGCGGGAAGAACATGGGGTACGCGTTCGTGAAGTGCGACGGCGCCGCGTCCGCGACGGCGACGATCGATGCGTTGAACGGGTTGGAGTTGGAGGGTAACGCGCTTCTCGCGGAGCTCGCGCGGGCGGAGACGAAAGAGAAGGAGGAGCCGCCGTCGCCGTCGCCGTCGCCGTCGCCGTCGCCGTCGCCGTCGCCGTCGCCGTCGCCGTCGCCGTCCAAAGCGCGATCCAAAGCGCGGGATGGGGATTCGGGCTCGAGCTCGGGCGGCGGCGGCGGCGGCGGCGGCACGAGAGGACGAGGGAAGCGGAAGAAGGGGCGGAGAGAAGAAGAAGAAGAAAAAGCCTCCTCCTCCTCCTCCTCCTCCTCCTCCGACGACGACGACGGCGTCGTCCTGGACCGCATCGCCGCCGCGAGACTCGAGATGGAAGCCGAGGCGATCCTCGAGATCGAGCGCGCGCGACGCGCGAACGCGAAGCGACTCGCGGAGGCTGAGGCCATCGCGGCGGCGCGGAGAGAGCGGTGAGACTGGTCCCCGTACGATACGAGTCGTGTCCGCGCCGTTCCGTTCCTCGAGGACATTCGTTTCTTCCCCGTCGATTCGATTCGATTCGATTCGATTCGGTTCTCTTCGCCCGCGCTTTCCCATCGACGTTCAAGCGCTCGTTTGACCGGTAAGACGCACGTAGCGAGACGCGAGACGTTCGACTGACCGACGCACCGAACCGACGCGCTCGCCCCGCGCGCGAATCGATCGCTTCGCCCCGCGCGCGCAGGGAGCGAAAGGCGGAGGCGCGAACCTCCGCGATGCTCGCCGAGCGCGCGCGCGCGGCGGAGGAGGCGACGCGACGGAAACGAGAGGCGGCTTCGCGCGTGGAAGAGATTCGCGTCGAGGCGATCGCGCTCGGGGAAATACGCGCGGAGCCCGCGTGGGACGAGGAGCTGCGCGCGTTGAGCGAGGCGCTGGAGGAGTTGCGCAGCCGCGTGGAGTGACGGAGGAAAAAAAAAAAAAATACTTCAAGAACGCTACTCGTAATAATAAAACAACGTAGAAGTTACAGTGACTGACTGTACAGTAAGTCAGTTTATCTAACTCTCGCTGTACAACGCGAACACCCCTTAACGCGGTTGAGTGAAGACGAGTGCTCCTGCTCCGGGGGAACGTAGAAGTTGTGGAGCGGGTGCGAAAAAATGGCAAAGCGACCTGCCCACCAATTTATTGTAAGCATAAATGTAAGGTGTATGAACCAAGGAATCAGGGTTTAAACTTCCATAGAGGATGGGGCAAACTTCGAGGGAATTAACTCAAGGATTACGGTCTATTTTCCCATCATAACATTTTATTTTGGGACCTGCCCACCTGCCTTGAAAACAAATACTGTAGACTATATACCCCTACAGTCTGACAGTACACGTACACGTAGAGCTACGCGCGCGTTCTGGCGAACGCGAGCGCCGTACTTGAGCGCCCGAGCGATCGAGCTCAAACCCTTTTACCGCCGCGGTCCTCGCGAGACACGTCGAAGCGGACACCTCAAGGTGAGCGCGCGCGTCGTCGCCGCGTCCCCCGCCCATCCCCCCCCGCGCGCCGCGTCGTCGCGTCGTCGCGTCGTCGTCGTCGCGTCGCGCGTCGTCCCCCGCGCGTCGTTTCCGTCGACGCGCGGTATTTAGGGTTTCCGCGCCTCGCATCGGCGGCCGCGCGCGCGGACGCGTCCGAGACGCGTCGCGGCGCCTCGCGTCGCGGCGCCTCGCGTCGCGAGACGCGCGTCGCACCGCGCGTCGCTCGGCGACGGCGGCGAACGTCGTCGCGCGCGTCTCGGCCGCGGTTCCGCGCGGCGCCGCCCGCCGGGGTTTTTTCGCCTCGATCGATCCATCTCTCCATCCATCATCCGTCCATCCTCACACTGGTCCCCATACGACCGCGTCGGCGTGGTGAACGCCGATCCTTAAGGACTTTTGCCGGCGCATCTCTCCGCCCATCACCCCTTGCTTTCAATCCCGTCACACCTCGACGCCTTTCAACTCCGCTTCTGACGCCTTTGAACTCCAAAGAACGCCTCGCCTCGTCCTGACCGTACCCCCCCCCTCCCACCTCCCCATTCCGCGCGCGCGCAGATGTCTCACCGCAAGTTCGAGCACCCGCGCCTCGGCCACCTCGGGTTCCTCCCCAAGAAGCGTTCGCAGCGCGCGCGCGGCAAGTGCAAAAAGTTCCCCCGCGACGACCCGACGTCTCCTCCGCACCTCACCGCGTTCCTCGGGTTCAAGGCTGGCATGACGCACATCGTGCGCGACGTGGACAAGCCCGGCTCGAAGCTTCACAAGAAGGAGACGCTCGAGGCGGTGACGATCGTGGAGACGCCCGCGATGATCGTCGTCGGCGTCGTTGGCTACGTCAAGACGCCGCAGGGCTTGCGAGCGCTCAACACGGTGTGGGCGGAGCACCTCTCCGTGGAGATCAAGCGCAGGTTCTACAAGAACTGGTACAAGTCCAAGCGCAAGGCGTTCACGAAGTACGAGAAGAAGTACGCGAACGGCAGCGGCGCGATCGACCAGGAACTGGACGCGCTCAAGAAGAACGCCGACGTCGTTCGCGTCATCGCGCACACGCAGGTGCGCAAGGTGAAGAACCTCAAGCAGAAGAAGGCGCACATGATGGAGATCCAGGTCAACGGCGGGTCCGTCGCGGACAAGGTGGACTTCGCGTACAAATTTTTCGAGAAGGCTGTCCCCGTCGACGCCGTCTTCGCCAAGGATGAGATGATCGACTGCATCTCTGTCACCAAGGGGAAGGGTTTCGAAGGCGTCGTCACGCGTTGGGGCGTGACGCGTCTCCCGCGCAAGACGCACCGCGGTCTCCGCAAGGTTGGCTGCATCGGCGCGTGGCACCCCGCGCGCGTCGGGTACACCGTCGCGCGCCCGGGCCAGCACGGCTACCACCACAGGACGGAGATCAACAAGAAGATTTACAGAGTCGGGAAGGAGGGGGACTCGAGCCACAAGGCGTCGACGGATCACGACGCGACGGAGAAGGACATCACGCCGATGGGCGGTTTCCCGCACTACGGCATCGTGAGGAACGACTACCTGATGATCAAGGGCGGCATCGCGGGCCCGAGGAAGCGTCTGATCACGCTCCGTCGCTCTCTGTTTAAGCAGACGCGTCGGGTGGCGACGGAGACGATCGCCATCAAGTTCATCGACACGTCGTCCAAGTTTGGCCACGGTCGGTTCCAGACGTCGGAGGAGAAAGCGAAGACGTACGGCAGGGTCAAGGCGTGAGCGGTCAAGGCGGTCAAGGCGTGAGCGGTCAAGGCGTGAGCGGCGTGAGCGGCGGCGGTTTCGGCGGCGTAGGCGTCGCGCGGTTGCGGCAGCGGCGGATCGCGACGAGCGCACCGCCGCTTTGTTTCGTTTCGTTTCGTTTCGTCGTGATGCGATTTGATGAAACGGACGAACGAACGAATGAACGTACAGTGATAAAGCGCGCTTTTCTTTTCTCTCTTCTTTTTCCAGTCTGGTCGTCGCGGAGGCGCCTAAACGTATTTCGTCTCAACTCGTCACTCCTCGCTGAGAAGGCGACGTCTCTTCTCTCGCGCCGCTCGCTCGCTCGCTCGCGCGCCGCCCGCCCGTCGCGACTCCCCCGCTCGCCGCTCGCCGCCGCCACGCTCACAGGATCTCGTCCAGGGCCTTGGAGATGGACTCCTTAAGCGCGGCGCGGTCGGGCTTGAACAGGAGGTTCTGAGGGTCGTTCCATACGAGCGAATGATGTCGGGGTGGAGTTGAAAGGCGTCAGAAGCGGAGTTGAAAGGCGTCGAGGTGCGCGCGTCGGGATTGAAAGCAGCGAGGGGTGGGCGGAGAGATGCGCCGGGAAGTGAAGTACGTCCTCAAGGAACGGCGTTCACCGCGCGAACGCGGTCGTATGGGAACCAGTGTGAGATAGAACGCGCCTGGTACACGTAAAAGGCGGAGAACCCGATGCCGACGATCTCGAGAAGGTCCGGGACGAGCGGCAACCCGTCGATGGATTTCAGCACGCCGTTGGCGGCGACGAGGCCGACGAGGCCGTACACCCCCAACGTAACGACCGCGGGCTTGTCGTCCGTGTCCTCCCACTTCTCGGAGACGGTGTCGGTGACTTCCTGTCGGCGGGCGGAGTGAGGACGAGTGTTCGGATCGTTCGTGAGTCTCCTCGACGCGACGCGTTAAAAAAAAAACTTCGCCGTGCAGTGCAGTGTCGCCGCCTTGCGCGCGGTTTCGGACGATCGATCCCTCGGTGAAATCGACCCCGGGACGCGGGGTGAACGAGCGCGCGCGTCGGTCGGACGCCCCAGCCACGGGACGCGACCGACGCCGCGAGCGCGCGAGGGAGGGGAGACGCGCCTTGAGCTTGGCGTTGAGGTCGTCCGAGTCCGCGCGGACGACGACGGCGGCGCCGCGCGACGTCTTGGGGGCTGCGAGACGGAGGGAGGGGAAGCGCGCGTCGGCGGCCCGATCGTTTTGTTCGCTCATCGTTTCGGGGGAAAAAACGAAAGAAGATTTAATCTTTGATCGATTTTCGAACGACGCCGGGGGGTCTCGCGCGCGGGCGCACCGATCGAAGCCTTGCGCGGCGCGGCGCGGCCGAGGACCGCGCGGGGCGTCGCCTTGGAGGAGACGCGCGCGGACGCGCGCGGGGCGAGCACCGCGCGGGTGGCGACAGAGCAGACGGCGACCATTGGTTGTTGGATCGGATTCGATTCTTCCTGCGCGAGAGCGAAGAGAGTGCGGACGCGCGCGCGGCGGTCAGATCAGAGGTCGCGAGAAAGCGCGGGGGCGACGCGCGCGAGGCGACGGCGACGACGACGGCGACGCGCGTCGTCTCGACGGCGACGACGACGACGACGCGCGAGCGATCGAGCGAGCGGGCGGGCGCGGACGGGGGCGCACCGGCGTCGATGAGTTGTGATCGCTCGGTTGCGCGCGAAACCACAAACGTATCCACGCAGGCAAGATATTTTATTGGCGCGCAGCGTGCACAGCACCTCCGACTACACTCGGTGTTACGAAAATATATTTTGGTAAGATATTTTGACGCGAAGGGTCCGCGCGCTGAATACGACGATGACGGCGCGGGACAGTCGCAAATGACATCGCGATAGTGAGAGTAATTGATGCCAACACCATTATGACGCCGTTCATGTGATAATATAACACCACTTACCGTCAAGAAAAAGACATCGTCGGCGCTCAAAGCGCGCGAGGTGATCTGAAACAGGCTTGACGGGACGAGCTTCTCGACGAAAATCGTATAGGTATTTCAGTCTCGCGCGGTCATCGAAAAAATTTCATCTCCGGAAGGGGTTTTCCGATTCTCTTCCTGACTGTTTACATGTGCGTGCCGTAGTAGAATACGCGGTCCCCCACGGGCATTTGGTCAGGTGATTAATTCGTGCTAAAAATTAGGCGCCCTACGCTCACGTGTTGTGAAGGACCGACTTACAGTATTCGTAAAATCGGAAAAACCTCTGAAAAACCTTTACCTTATCGAAATATCTTCGCAAGAGTCGCGGACGAGAGGTGCGGACGCAGTGCGGACGAGTGTGAATCTTTAATCTTGTCCGCACCACGTGTGCGCGGTGTGCGAATAGCAAACGCTCTCTCACACACACGACGCGCCGATCGCGGCGTCGCGCGTCGGCACGCGGCCGCCGCCGTCGACCGGCACACGGCGCGCCGCGCGTCGCGGAAGCGCGAGGTTTCGTCCGAACGCGGGGCGCCCGCGGCCCGCGAGACCCGTTGGCGGACACGTGACTGGGGCGACCCAGGTCGAGGCGTCGGTCGGCGTGGCCGCCCTCCGCGTCGTCGCCGTCCATCGAGCGCGAGCACGCGACGGACGCGGTCCGGGAGTCGACGCGCGCGATCGCGGAGGGTAATTAATGCGCGATGCCCCCGCGCACGCGCGCGACGGCGACGCGCGATGCCCCCCCGACGCCGCGGGGGACTTGTCGCGAAAAAGGCGTATCAACGAGATTCGCCCGGTAAGACGGTTTTTGCAGACTAAATGCCGCTACACGTGGTGCGGATTTTTTCGACGGAGACGCGCGCTCGCGCTCGCGCTCGCGTTGATGACGATTACGATTTCGTCCCTGCAAACGGCGGCGGCGCAAGGTCAGGGCGGGGGAGGAGGGAGCAGCGGAGGCGGCGGCGGCGAGACGTGCGGCAGAAACGAACGCGTCTCTTGCGACGGCGCGTCGTGCTCGTGCGTGGCGTGCCCCGACCGGTCTTCGAACAAGCGAGGCGACGCGACATCCGGCGGCGCCGAGACGTCGTGCGAGTGCGACGAAGGCGCGTCCCGCCGCCACACTGGTTTCAATACGACCCCGTTCGCGCGGTGCACCCCGTTCCTCGAGGACCTTGCCCGGCCGGCGTTTACGTCCGCGCGCCCTCGGTTTCGATCCCGACGCGCCTCGACACCTCGCGACTCCGACTGACGCGCCCCCGAACGCCGCCCGCCCCGACGTCGCTTCGCGCGGGAAATTATCCTCAGACTATCGCGTGGACGCGAGCGGCGCCGCATGCGCGGCGTGCGCTCCCGGATCGACGAACGCCGCGGGAGATTCGGTCCCGGGAAGCGAGACGACGTGTGATGTTACCTACTGCGCCGTGAACGAGTACGTCGACGCGAGTAACGTGTGTCAGGCGTGCCCCGCCGGAAGCACGAACGCGTTGGTCGGAGGCGTCGGCGCCGCCGCGACGACCGCGGGCAGTAGTTCGGACTGCGATATCACCTACTGCGCCGTGGACGAGTACGTCGACAATAAAAACGTGTGCCAGCCGTGCGATGCAGGCTCCGAGAATCCCGTAGACTCGGTCACCGGCCTTGGCGACCCGGCGACGACAGCGAGTACAGAGGCGAACTGCGTCCCCATGTATTGCGCCGTGGATCAGTACGTCGACGCGAGTAACGTGTGTCAAGCATGCCCCGCTGGAAGCACGAAGCCCTTAGTCGGAGGCGTCGGCGCCGATAGGACTGTCACGGGCAGTAGTTCGGACTGTGATGTTACCTACTGCGCCGTGGATCAGTACGTCGACGCGAGTAACGTGTGCCGGGCATGCCCTGCCGGGACTGAGAACCCCTTGGTTAGAGGACAAGGCGCCGACGCGACAGTCGCGGGCTCAGCGTCGGATTGTGCTACTATCTACTGCGCCGTGGATCAGTACGTCGACGCGAGTAACGTGTGTCAGGCGTGCCCCGCTGGAAGCACGAAGCCCTTGGTTGCCGGCGTCGGCGCCGTCGCGACGGTCGCGGGCAGTAGTTCGGACTGTGATGTTACCTACTGCGCCGTGGACGAGTACGTGGACGCGGATAACGTGTGTCAGGCGTGCCCCGCCGGAAGCACGAACGCGTTGGTCGGAGGCGCCGGCGCCGCCGCGACGACCGCGGGCAGTAGTTCGGACTGCGATATCACCTACTGCGCCGTGGACGAGTACGTCGACAGAAATAACGTGTGCCAGCCGTGCGATGCAGGCTCCGAGAATCCCGTAGACCCGGTCACGGGCCTTGGCGACCCGGCGACGACGGCAAGAACAGAGGCGAATTGCGTCGCTCCGGATCCATGCGATGCGTCTGCAGCCCCCACGAACGGCGGCGTCGGCGACTGCACGAGCTCTCTCGCGAGTGGGTCGACATGCCAGCCCACGTGTAATTCGGGCTATACCGTTTCTGGGACGAGCTCATGCAGCGCTGGAACACTCACGGCGGCGACGTGTGGCCCCAGCCCATGCGATGCGTCCGCTGCTCCTACAAACGGCGGCGTCGGCGACTGCACGATTAACCTCGCGAGCGGGTCGACATGCCAGCCGACGTGTGACTCGGGGTACACGGTGTCCGGGACGTCCTCTTGCAGTCTCGGAACGCTCACGGCGGCGACGTGTTCGGCGAACGCTTGCGATGCGTCCGCTGCACCTGCGAACGGCGGCGTCGGCGACTGCACGATTAACCTCGCGAGCGGGTCGACATGCCAGCCCACGTGTGACTCGGGGTACACGGTGTCCGGGACGAGCTTATGCAGCGCTGGAACACTCACGGCGGCGACGTGCTCGGCGAACGCTTGCGATGCGTCCGCTGCTCCTACGAACGGCGGCGTCGGCGACTGCACGATTAACCTCGCGAGCGGGTCTACGTGTCAGCCGACGTGTGACTCGGGGTACACGGTGTCCGGGACGTCCTCTTGCAGTCTCGGAACGCTCACGGCGGCGACGTGCTCGGCGAACGCTTGCGATGCGTCCGCTGCTCCTACGAACGGCGGCGTCGGCGACTGCACGAGCTCTCTCGCGAGCGGGTCTACGTGCCAGCCGACGTGTGACTCGGGGTACACGGTGTCAGGGACGAGCTCATGCAGCGCTGGAACACTCACGGCGGCGACGTGCTCGGCGAACGCTTGCGATGCGTCCGCTGCACCTACGAACGGCGGCGTCGGCGACTGCACGAGCTCTCTCGCGAGCGGGTCTACGTGCCAGCCGACGTGTGACTCGGGGTACACGGTGTCAGGGACGAGCTCATGCAGCGCTGGAACACTCACGGCGGCGACGTGCTCGGCGAACGCTTGCGATGCGTCCGCTGCTCCTACGAACGGCGGCGTCGGCGACTGCACGAGCTCTCTCGCGAGCGGGTCTACGTGCCAGCCGACGTGTGACTCGGGGTACACGGTGTCCGGGACGTCCTCTTGCAGTCTTGGAACGCTCACGGCGGCGACGTGTGGCCCCAGCCCATGCGATGCGTCCGCTGCTCCTACGAACGGCGGCGTCGGCGACTGCACGAGCTCTCTCGCGAGCGGCTCCACGTGCCAGCCGACGTGTGACTCGGGGTACACGGTGTCAGGGACGAGCTCATGCAGCGCTGGAACACTCACGGCGGCGACGTGCTCGGCGAACGCTTGCGATGCGTCCGCTGCTCCTACGAACGGCGGCGTCGGCGACTGCACGAGCTCTCTCGCGAGCGGGTCTACGTGCCAGCCGACGTGTGACTCGGGGTACACGGTGTCCGGGACGTCCTCTTGCAGTCTTGGAACGCTCACGGCGGCGACGTGTGGCCCCAGCCCATGCGATGCGTCCGCTGCTCCTACGAACGGCGGCGTCGGCGACTGCACGAGCTCTCTCGCGAGCGGCTCCACGTGCCAGCCGACGTGTGACTCGGGGTACACGGTGTCCGGGACGTCCTCTTGCAGTCTCGGATCGCTCACGGCGGCGACGTGTGGCCCCAGCCCATGCGATGCGTCCGCTGCTCCTACGAACGGCGGCGTCGGCGACTGCACGATTAACCTCGCGAGCGGGTCGACATGCCAGCCGACGTGTGACTCGGGGTACACGGTGTCCGGGACGTCCTCTTGCAGTCTCGGATCGCTCACGGCGGCGACGTGCTCGGCGAACGCTTGCGATGCGTCCGCTGCACCTACGAACGGCGGCGTCGGCGACTGCACGATTAACCTCGCGAGCGGGTCGACATGCCAGCCCACGTGTGACTCGGGGTACACGGTGTCCGGGACGAGCTTATGCAGCGCTGGAACACTCACGGCGGCGACGTGCTCGGCGAACGCTTGCGATGCGTCCGCTGCTCCTACGAACGGCGGCGTCGGCGACTGCACGATTAACCTCGCGAGCGGGTCTACGTGCCAGCCGACGTGTGACTCGGGGTACACGGTGTCCGGGA